AACCAGAATTAAAGTTAAGACTGCGGCACGATGTATTTTTTTCACTGGATATTTTTCCTGTGAATTGCTTGCGTTTTAATAAATTAGAGAATTGAATCACACAAAATGCAGTTCTTACAGTAATTTACTGAAACGCAAGCAGAAAAACATAGATCATGTATCACAGACTTTAATCTACATTGATAGAAATTGGATTGTTGAACTGTCGAAATAATTATATAGGATACTCAAACAGATTGTTAGTAGGGGAGATCGGGGTTGGTTGTCGTACGGAGTTGATTGTCAAGATGCTTATAATTCAAGCAGAAAAATTTCTTTTTTTTTTTTATTATATATTGATGATACAATATTAATTTGTTGCATAAAATGCTTTGCACCACAAGCAATATATATATTATTATTATAGCGATTTTTAAGAAAATGAAATTGGTGAGTAATTTTTTTTTATCACCTATTTTGTTGTCAGATAAGTCTTTGGCCTTGTTAATCACGATATCCCTGTATTCATGGAAAATACCATGTCTTAGAAAATCTTTGCTACGATTAATCATTATCCTGACAAAGTTTATAAATATAATCTCTTTTATTAAAAATGGCTGTGTAGATTGAAATGAGACGAGGCTGGATGACAATTTTAATATCTTTAGAGAACATATTTTTAGAGAATATTCTTACAAATATATTATATTATGTAGATATATGTTTTTTTCATTTTTCATATAGAAACGGTACAAAAACAAATTACGTATTTTATGTTTAAAATAACTATTTTATTTGTATTAATATTATAATTACTATTATTTCTCTGAAAATATAAAACTGATATTAAAATAAAAATTGTATTTTTTATATATGTGTTGTCCATAACAAATATTGCTACTGGCAATTTTAGAACGTGTGACAGTCAACCCAAAACAATGGGTTAATTGTCACATTTTCGCAGCTTCGTTTAAAATTAAAAATTTATTTTTACAATATGATGAATTCACGAGTAATATTTTATAATTACCTAAAGGATGTGGATGTATTGTAACGTATATAATATTTAAAAATCAGGCATCCACTTTTTTCTAAAAATCACTAATCAAAAACTGACAATCGGCCCCGGTCTTCCCTGTCATGTCATAATTTTTTGCAATATTGCTCATCACGTTTGAGTTTCTTGTATCCATAAATACTTTGATGGTATAATATTAGAAACGTTATAAATCAAAGACATTAACGCGTAGAAAAGTGTCGTTCGACGTAATTCTAGCCCAAAATACATCGACTACGATTTGGGGCGGCGGTAATGCTCGGAAACACCGTGTATATGTATAGGCAACGGTATTGCTGCGGAGCGGCGGCCGGTCGAGAAAGAGCTGTCAAGCGCACGCCGGCCGCGCCGATCGACCTCGTGCATAGGACGAGAAAACGTACGTGACGCGCGGACGTCGCCTCCCGGGCGGCGCCGGCGCCGGCGCCGGCGTCGGCGTCGGCATCGGCGTCAGCGTCAGCGTCGGCGTCGGCGTCAGCGTCGGCGTCGGCGTCGGCGTCGACGTCGGAGTCGACGGCACGCGGCCGCGGCCGCAGCCGCTCGCGAGAGGCGCGCATGAATGAAACGAGCGAGCGACTCTTTCTAAAGAAGAGTACATAGGGGTCAATCAGGGTAATCTCGCGACGGCCAATGACAAAATTAATAATCGTCATTCTCTCGGACGACAGAATTGACAGTTGTGCTTAAGCGATCTTACGATGTCCGTTCAACGAATTTTCATCATTCGATAATTTCATAAATCACTATCGGCTTACATCTATTATTAACCATTCTGTCAATGCGCAATTTTTCATCTTTTCACTACAGTGTTTTTCGCAAGATTTCCGCTAAAAATATAAAAGTGAAAACGAAATAAAGTCTGTGCGAAACTGTTTTTCGTTGTCAAAACACGGAAAAAACGGTTGTGTTAAGGTATCAAAAAGTTTAATTAAATATAGAGCTGGAAATAATTTCGTTGGACTATCTCAAAATAATAATTATATAGAACGTTCAAACTGATTGCTAGAATGTCAAAACTTTTTGCAGTATTGTTCATCATGTTTGAATTTTCTACATAATTATTTTGACCAGAATTGTCACAAATTTCTTATTCTAAAATTTCATAACTTTTCCTTAATTTCTAAACAAAATTTCATATTGAATTTTACCTGATTTTCAATAACATTAAAAAATTTTTTATATTTTTGTCTTGATTTGAAAACCATTAAATATTTTATTGAGAGATCAATTTAACATATAGTAATGTAAATTACTATTAATGTTGCTAATACTGCTTGCATTTTTAATTGTTAAGTTGGTAATATTCCAAAACTGTGCAGATATAATGTACGTATATTGAATTTCTTTAAAGCTAAAAATTTTAATTTTTCAGAAAATTTTGCAAAATTTTCTGACTTTTCCCTGATTTTTCTCATCATTTCCAATTTCCCTGACAATTCCCTAATTTCACTGATTTTAGTTTTGTGGTAATAAATTTATTTTTAGCTTTGTATCTACCTGAAATTTTTTAATATTTTAGTATAATCGTCGTTTCCGTGAAAAGGGTTTTTCAAGGCATCATAACGAAATAACACAAAAATATAAAATTGTTTACGAATTTTTATGAAAAAGAGTTAAAAAAGAATTGAAAGATGTTTCCCTAAGTCCTGATTAGAGAGAGAGAGAGAGAGAGAGAGAGAGAGAGAGAGAGAGACAGAATTAATCACGCAACTTGCTAAAAGAATTCTATCAACACCATACTACATTTTTTAAATATATCCATTATCTATTATTATATTAAAAAAGACAACATTAAAAAAAAAAGACAATCAATATAATAATCGAAAATTGACTATATGGAGCAATAGAAAATTTGATGAATATGATACGGAGATAAATGATGCTACGTATCTCACGCAGAGAAAGATAAAATCTTTAGTACATGTAGTGATTTCACCGAATCTGATAAAACTCTTGATCTGGCGCAGATTATTATTCAACGATAATGGTAACGCTAATGCCAGATTTACACGAAGCCAGTGAAAGGAGAAGCAAGTCAAGTAGTCACGTGTTATTCAGCCACTTGTTCCATAATCATCTCTGCATCTACCTTTGCTACCTGACTTTCCTCCTTATTGACTTTGAATGCAAATCCAGCATTCTAATTAACAAAAAGAGGACACACGGACTCTTCACGGATTTTGATCTTCTCCAGTGTCAGGATGATGAATCTACATAGAAAATAAAATGTGCCATGTTTGAGTGTTTTTGTTGAATAGATATATAGTACTTTTTATATAGTAGAAAGAATGGGTACATAGTACATGTACAATATATAGTACTTTTTAATATATGAAAGGAATCCGCACTAATTTTATACAGAAAATTGAATCCTGATAAAATGATAATTAATTTTCACATAAACGTAGCTTACAATGTGATGAACAAAAGATCAACAATCGCTTAATAATAGATAGTTTTTAAGCTATGATGTATTAAAAGATGTTTTGTGCGTGAGTATAAGTTTTATACCTTTGATACATCATAGCTCAAAAACGATCCTTTATTAAATTTTGTGTCAATGATACCTTTTGTTCGCCATATTACAAGCTGCATTATACCTACATGAAAATTAACTCATTTCAATTTTCTATATAATTAGTGCGAGATTTTGTCACACATTAACTAACACTAGAACCGCGGCTGTATTATTTTTTACATCCGATAATTCTATCTTTTCTAGTTAATTTTCGTTAACAAATAGCTACTATATATACAGACGTTGAAATTATAATACTTTAGTATCAATAAGAGTGTATTATATTTCAAAAAATCATAAAAGAGTAGTATGGTAGTAATAAGTGATCCATACGTGGCTTTGGAGAAAAATCGTCGGGGTTCCAGTGTTAAAAAATAATACTTACAAGGTTTAGTCTCGAAAACGTTTGGACAGGCCATAATTTGTTTTCGATGTAGGAAGACGTTATCATGCTGGAGGAGACCAAAATCTGTCCTCTGAAGAGTCCATTGTGTCCTATTCTTGTAAGTTAAGCCATCGTAATACAATGCTCGCCGAAATCAAGTGTTTCGAAATGAAGACGGTGTCGAAACGAAGAAATCTCCATACAAAGGAAAGAAAGGGGCCTATTTGCCTCGATCGAAATAACAGTGAGTCGGCAACTCTTGCTACTCGCTACACTAATCTCCCTACCATGGTTCATACAACGTTACAGTCCTTCATTAATTTCTTTCAGGGAGGAAAAGCGAGCGAGCGACTTACCACTCGGCTCGATCTGCTTTTACCGGCTTCGTATATTCCTGACTAATGCCGGGTTTATGCTGCGAATAGTGGGGAGGCAAGCCGAGTGGCAAATTACTCGCTTACCTTCCCTGAGCGAACGACGACGACGACGACGACGACGGCGACGACGACGGCGACGACGACGACGACGACGACGACGACGACGACGACGACGACGACGACGACGACGACGACGACGACGACGACGACGACGACGACGACGACGGCGACGGCGACGGCGACGACGACGACGACGACGACGACGACGGTACGTTTAGCCGAGA